CAATTTTAAAAATTGAATGTTTTATTTTCTTTTTATTTCCAGCATATAATTGAACTTTGGGTTTACCTCGAGCCTCTGGTTAGATTATCATCAGATCCCCAGAGCGATATGACCCCATAACCCTTTCCTTATACGTAGATTGGCTCCGCTGGTTATGAATAAAACATAGCATTTGTAAACTGCCACCCAGTCAGCTTTGGTCATTTGAATTATTCATAGGAGCAGCACAGTCACCCGTGGGCGAAAGGTTTGTTTCATGTGCTCCTTTTTCTTTGTCATTATTTTCTCTGTCATAACAACTGACCCATTGCACTTCTGGGACAAGGTTAGATGCGGTTTCATATACATAAGATGTAGGTTAGTACAAAATATCTGCATAAATATAAAAACGCTAAACTAAAATAGAAATAACGAAAGACAAATAAAAGGGTTGGAACTATTTCGACTATTTGTAAAAGAAGATAGAAAAGGACGCTTGCAGAAATGTTACATATATTTTTTTTTCAATCTAAAAGTGTTAGAAACAAAATGGGAATGGCTGACATTGAAATGCAACTCAACAATGGTAAATTCCAAAACACAACGTTTTATTATCTTCAGGAAAGTATAATTACACCTTTTCGTTGCACGCAAAAGACGTTAGTTCGATTCCCATGTGGGATAGATCGAGTATCTCCGTCTTTCTGCTGGGATGCTGTCCCCGTCTCACTTCGGCATGGCCTGGGCAGGCAGGGTCCAAGCAGCCTTCCTCCCAAATGATCTAGATTGATGGTGACGTAAAACATTTACAATCAATAAAATGGGAGCATGCAAACCTCCTTAGGGATATCAACTGGGTCAATAGGAACAGGAAGTGTAAAAAGGGGGGCTAAGTCGACAGAGGGAATTTAAATGTCTCAGGGGTTTAGTGTTTTTCTTTTCTCATTGTTGACGGAAGATGGAACATCCTGTATAATTCTCCACGTCCACATTCTGTTCCATTTATTTTTGGAAATGTATATTTTCTCCTAGCGGTTGTAAAGCAAATAGTAAAAGAAGAAGCCCTCATATAAATCGTTCATAATAAAGTGAGCGTGCATTGTCGACAAATTATGCAGTTCTTGTAATATTGACGTCATCAATGTAATCGACAATGACAATGACAATGACATTCTTATTCATCTCGCAGGGAAAAATTTGTCTTGGTCGTTAACAATGGCAGTAGACGTAACAAAGATAAGGTGCACTCGCGCATACACTCACAACAAGACATGTAAATACATGACAACCCGCTCCGTAAAAGATTCTCTCTCTCTCTCTCTCTCTCTCTCTCTCTCTCTCTCTCTCTCTCTCTCTATCTATCTATCTCTCTCTCTCTCTCTCTCTCTCTGTTTCATTTGCAGCACTGTGTGTTCAGTAACCTCACTGCAGTTGGTACGAATGAATTTCTAAATCTGTCTGTTCTTGCTTTTTAAAAATTGTATCGTTTACCGTGGGTCGATCGTTGAAATTCCGATGTCAGTGGGTGGCTATGGTCACTAAGCCTTATTTCCGTCTTTTTTAGAAGTTCGGTTGTTTTTTTTGCAGATATTAAAAGTTACTTAGGTCTCTACAAACTGTTCTTGATGCCTTTCTGATCAACTTGTTTATTTTTATGATGTGCTGCCTTCCCAAATTGCTACCGTAGCAAGTGACAACAAAATTTATCAAAGTTTCTATTGTGGTGGTGTAGAATATCAGCTGAAGGATGGATGGATTCAGATTGAAAGACTTAAATTTCCTCAGAAAGTACAGCCTCTGATTTACCTGTTTAACGATATTGTTTACGTGATTTTGCCATGTAAATTTGTTGTCGATTGTAAGACAAAGATATTTGTATGAATCTGTGATTTCAATTGTTTGTTGGATTTTTTGTTCAATTACAAGTGGGATTGGTTTTTCTCTTCGAAAATATAAAATCATTTCCTTTGTTTTTGAGAGGTTCACTTTTAGAAAATTTGAATTGCCCCATTTAAAAAAACGTGCATTTTTCTTCGGAATACTCTTTTTCATCAAGGTTTAGTAATCTCACAATAGCAAAAAAAATAGCCGTGTCCTCAGCAAACTTAATTAAGTGTGTTGTTTTATATCTACTTATGATCGTTTGTATATAGTGTATACAACACTGGTTACAAAACCCAGCCCTGAGGACTGCCGGTTTTACAAAGGATTGTGTCAGATATTGTGCTGTTCAGCATTACACAATGTGGTCTGCCTGTCAAAAATTCCAGGACCCATGCTGCGATATGAAGACTAACGCTTAGACTCAGAAGTTTTTAAATGACAATATGCGGTTCAATTGTATGAAATGCTGGGGAAAAATCAACAAAAGTACCCTCGTATACGTTTAGATGTTTCAAGGTGTTTCAGTATAGAGTCACAAAAAAACAAGTACAGCATCTTCTACTGGAATGGGTCTAGATTTCCATGAACACAACCTAGAATGTTTTAGAGGATCAATTTTTCAAGGCACTTGAAAGCAATGGATGAAAGAGCGACTGGTCTTAAATCTTTCAATTCATATATTTTAGGCTTTTTTTGTATTGGCATTACCTCCAATGTTTTCCATATTGTTGG